GTTGTTTGGCGCTACGTACGCTAGTTTTTTTTTTTTTACAATTGAGTAGTTAGTCCTATTTTTACCACATTATATCTTGTAAATATACAAAGATTGCATGCATAGGCCTTTGGACATGGAGTGTGGATGGTTACATATTGTTGTTATGTGTTTTTAGGGTGAAGATGAAGTAATGACTAGGGGGAGGTTCTCTAGTTATTGATTTTCCTTGAGATATATTGTTAGGCGATGGCTATATTTTTCGATTTATGTATGCATGCATTTCTATTGCTTGTAGTATCATTTCTGCAATGCATGGTAGGATATATATGAAACAACATCAGGTAGGTAATTTCATGCAATGAACTTGTGATTGTGACTTGTGATTTTCAAGCGGCTTTGTTCATTGTGCTATGTTATTATGCATGATTGTCTGTATTTGTTGGTTGACTCGGGTACCACGCTTAGTATAGAATATCCTCACGATTGACTTGGATACCACACATGCATATACTAACGGTTGGCTTTTGTACCACTCTTGGTACAAATATATCCATAAATGAGTGGCTCAAATATCACATTGGTACACTAATTAAGGATGACTCGGGCACGTCGGTATACTAACAATTTGCTTTGGATTTTTCGAGAGGACCAACTATGTGTTCACGGTTCCATGAGTGGACCTGATGTAATTGTTGCATGCTGGATCCCTAAGTGGTCCGAATTACTTGAAAATGTAGTTAATCTCAGATTTGATTGTATGTGACCATTTGGGACATTAACCATGTTTCGATAAGTCAGGGTAAGGTTTGGGAGTTAGGGATATGTATCACTTGTGATGGGAGAGGTAAGTTAATTGTTCAATCGCATCTAAATACTTCGGATTTTTTTGCATAATTATCTTAATTTTTGGGTTGAGTTTATGGGGACTCAATTTTCTAGTTGTCTAATATTAATAATAATCAACTTGGTTTTGTGATGGGTTCTGGATTAAGTGATAATAATGAGTTAGTCTAAGGCGTTAATTTCATTTATTAATCTAAAAAGGTCCAGATAGTTGGCATGGATATATAAAGGTCATTCCTAACTAGTGGCCTCAACTGGTTTAGCAATTTGAACAATACAGACCCATAATAAAATCGCAGGTGGTGATTTGGGAAAAACCTGAAATAGGATAGTTAAAATGTAAGATAGATGGGGCTTGTAGAAGAAATCCTGGTGAGAGCTCTGCAGTTTTCTATATTAGAGATGCTAATGGTAATCTAGTATATGCTGAAGTTAAAAGACTTGGGATCTCAAATAGCATGAAGGCAGAAGCAATAGTCATTCAAGGTGGTATTCAACACTGTATTGAACAATAGAGAGTACTGATCTTGATAGAATCTGATTCTCTTGCCATGATCAATATGATAGAAGAAAAATGGGAAGCACCTTCGAAGATCAGGATGGAGATGGCTAGTATTAATTTGTGGAGGAGAAAAGAGCAAGTGCATTTTGCTCACATCCTTAGGGAAGGCAATGCACTAGCAGATTTTTTAGCTAATGAAGTTTTTAATTTTGCAGGTACTAGAGCAGTTCAATATCAAAATTTTCAATCATTACTATCGCAAGCAAGGAAACTTCTCAACATTGATAAATAACAATTACCACAACTAAGATTCAACACGTGCAAGAATAGAGAACCAGATTGAAAATTCAAGCTTACACAATTAAGGGGCAAGGCTGTAGGTATAAAAGCATATCAAGAAAATTGCTTTCACTTAGTTCAAAAGAAACAATACCTATAAGATTCAACAAACAACAAGATCCAGCAACAACTTGTAATTAGAATCGACCTACACTAATTTGTGATCTGAACTAAAAAATAACTTATTAATAGTGGTATTAGTTGCATATGAAGCTCAGCCCATTGTAAGATGTTTATTAGGACAGATTTCAAGTTAAATTAGTGTTACATCTGATGTTATGTAACTGTATAGTCAAGGTGCCAGACTTACCTTAGAGCTAACACCAAACATTCAAACGAATTGGTTTACGATTCTTCAGCTTGGGTGTTGATTCTGCAGCGTCTGGTGAGAGCTTAGAGACCGCTAACATTGAAATCACCTCAGGGGACCAGTTTAAACCTTGAATTCGGTAAAGCTTAAAGATGAGTTTGAGCTAAAATTTGATGGCCATCAGATCAGAAATTTGGAGAGATACCACAAACATTACCTTATTGAAGCCCCAAATCTGCAGATGATTAATTCTAGCGAGCTACGATGGCTTCAGGCATAACATTTGGTCTTCACCATTGTAGACCTCTGACTGTAGTAGTTTTCATTCCTTTTTGATGTCTTTTTTTCTAATTTGGTTTCCTTTTGCTTTTTCTATTTGTTTCTTTAGTTTATTTTTTCTTTACTGAAGTAGTGGGGCCTGTGTGCCTAAACCCATCAGATTTTATTTTATTTTATTGGAATTTTAATTTTATTCTAATAAAATCTTGGGTACATTTTGTACCCATTATTTTAAAAAAAAAGATATATAAAGGGTAATAAGTCGTTTGACAGAGCGGGTGAGGGCCTGATTTTCAGATACATTAATATGGTAGAAGGGTTAGGCTTCGATTGTGTATTGTTATGACATTCTAGGTAGGCTGGGGAAGCCTTGGGTGATGTAATTAAAGGGCTTAGTCATGGAACTTAACTGGAAAAGGTAGAAGTAAGGGAGTAGAGAAGTGGATTGGTGTAACTTTCATACTGCATGACTTGTCTATTTATTTACATTATATTATGTCATAGGTTCGGGTCGATCTATGATGCCATTTTGCAAAATCTTTAAAGAAAATAGGAACAAACATGTATTATGAAATTATGGGAATTTGGAAATTGGTTCATTCCCATGTATTGAGAAAACTTCTGATATATTGGACAATAATTAATACATAAATAACTATAAATCTTTGGCCATTTTGCAACATTTTTAAAGAAAATTGGAACAAACATATATTTATGAAATCATGCGAATTTGAAAATTGGTTTATTCCAATGTATTGGGAAAGCTCATCATATATTGGACAATAATAAATACATAAATAAATAAGAAAAAATCAAATTCAGAAAGAAAGGACAAAAATGTCCAAAAGAAATTAGCTTATAGTGTGAATTGACATCTGGGTCATTGTGGCCAAAAGGATTTTTTCCAAATAGAATAAAGGGAGTGTAACACCTCGATCTTAGAACGGGCTAATTTTAGAAAGAACTAAAATCGACAGAGCTGAATTGAGAATTTTGTAAGTTAGTCTTAAATTGTGAGTTTTGGGTCAACTTCAAATAACCATAACTTTCAGTACAGGATGAGTTAGGTAGCCCATAAAGTATCAAAGGAAAGATCTCCGGGTCCTCTTTCCAATGCCATCAAGCATACTAAATTCCGAGTCCGGATGAGGGAGATATGCCTATTTTAGTTTAGTCTATCCAGTTAAGGCAATTCATCCATTTTAAGGAGGGGTAAATTGGTTTTTTCCCTACCCAATAAGTCATAAGAATATTTTTCACCTAATTAGAGGTCAAAGCTGATTAGAATCAGATTACGCTAAATTCTAAAAACATTCAAGAACCTAAGGCTAAGTTCAAGAGGATAAAAATGGCGTAAGCTTCAAGCGTTCATCGAGTTTGAGGATTTTTGTCAAGGATTTGATTTCTTCGAGGTATGTAAGCTTCCACAATATTGGGTTTGTTCGTCCTCACGCCAATCATGTAATATTTTACCTATGAATCCATTATAGATGTTGAATTGGTGAGCTCTTGAAAGGTTATTGAATTTAATTGGTAGGAGTGTTATTTTGAGTTCTTGAGGCGAGGGTTTGCGAATGAGTTGAGTAAATTGATAGTTCCTTGTGTGGATTCCGCTGAGATTGTTCTGGGTTATAATAATTTGTGAGTTTTAACCTTAGATTCTGCAATGAGTATGAGTTGAATTGAGTTTGGAGAGAAAGAAAAGATCAGGAAAAAATACACGCCCAGGTCGGCATCGCGGAGATGCTTTTAAATCCAATCCCCAGAAAAGTATCTCCCTTTTTGCATCACGGAGAGGATACAGACTCCATTGTTTCAAAAATTATTTTGCGACCAAATATTCTAATTCTTCTCCTCGTCACCCTCATGCTTCCCAGTATCATCACGTAGCTCATACGTTGTATCATCACGTAGCTCATAGTTAAGTATTTCTGAGTTTGAGTTGAGGTGAGTTGAGTTGAGTTGAGATGAGGTAAGTATGTTCTTTCTTTCTATCAAATCAAGCTTATGTCTATCTTTTAGAGTTCCATTTGCATGCTTTTACATTCCATGTACTGCCGTTATTTAGCCTGCATCTTTCATGATACATACACTAGTAACCAGGGTCACCAACAGGCGCTCTATTGATACCACTTGCAGTCCCAGAGTTTGATTGGTGAACCTCCTTACTTTCTGGAAGGCTTTACATTTTGCTTTTATTTTCAGTTTGTTAGGATGATCGAGGGTCTTGTCCTGACATCCATCATAGTATTGTTAGAGGCTTCGTACACAGTAGAGTTTTGAGAAGTCAGTTTCATTTTCAATTGCTAATGTTCTAGACTTGAGTTGCCTCTTTTGGCCAGTTGAATGTTTCTAAAAATATTTTGAGCTATTTATTTTGAGACTGCTTTGAGAAAACCATTTACTTTTGAGTTCTTGTGATGTTGATAAAGTCTTCATTTGAGTATTGAGCTAGACAAAGGGTTCGCTTGGGAACCAACAGTGGTTCTTGAGTGCCAATCGCGTCTAGGGTGTAGGCCCGGGGAGTGAAAAGCATGGTATCAGAGCATAGAGTTCAAAAGTCCTATGGTGTCTATGAAGCCGTTTCCTTAGAGTCATATTTATCGGTGTGAAGCGCCCCACATCTATAATTAGGAGGTTACAACATTTAGGAAACAATTCCCTTCTTTCTTACTCTTTTCGTGCGATAAAGTTTAACTCTATAAAGTTTCTTTCTAATTCATGCTTGCGCGTATATTTTAGATCATGCCTCCACGAAGAGCTGTTCAAGGTCATCCCGCAAGGAGAAATGTTGATCCTCCGGATCAAGGGGTTCCCAATGCACCAGAAGTGCAACCCCAAGGAGAGGTCACTAATACTGAGTTCCGAGATTCTATCTGGATGTTGAGTCAATTTGTGACCAACCAAGTTGGGCAACAAATAGGGAATCGACAAGATGTGGCTGATACATCCATGATCCGTGAATTCCTAAGGATGAATCCTCCAGACTTCACCGGTTCAAGTGTCACAGAGGATCTGGAAAACTTTGTAGAAGAGTTGCTGAAAGTGCTTGAAGTGATGCATGTTGGAGATTTCGAGCGTTTTGAACTAGTTGCATACCAACTTAAGGGTGTTGCTAGAGTCTAGTATGACCAATGGAACAAGAGTAGATCTGAGGGTGCACCATTGTGAGGTGGGCTGTGTTCGAAGAGTTCTTGGGGCATTTCTTTCCCCGTGATCTTAGAGAGGCGAAAGTTAGAGAATTCCTTAACTTGAAGCAGAATCCATAAGTGTGCATGAGTATAGCCTCAAGTTCACTCAATTGTCCTGTTATGCTCCGGAGATGGTTGCTGATATGAGGAGCAGGATGAGCTTGTTTGTGTTAGGGTTATCTCATATGTCCGACAAAAAGGGTAAGATATCTATGTTGATAGGATACATGGACATATGAAGGCTTATGATCCATGTGCAGGAGGTTGAGGAGGACAAGCTGAGAGATAGGGAAGAGTTCTGGAACAAGAAGGCTAAGGCTACAGGTACTGAGTTTGGACAACAGAAAACCGAAAATGCAAACCGGTCATCTTATCAGCAAAGGCCAACTGGACCTTCTCCATCATCTGCTAGTTCACTTGCACCAAGGAACAGAGGTGAGTTCAAGAACCAGAATTCTCAGAACTTCAGAGCTAGACTTGCTCAATCACAAAGTAGTGTGGCATAAGGAGGTAATTGGACTCCTATATGTGCTAAGTGTGGTAGAAACCATCCAGGAGCGTGTCATGATGGCTCCACTGGTTGCTTCAAGTGTGGTCAAGCAGGTCACTTCATGAGAGAGTGCCCAAAGACCAGGGAGGGAGGTGGTAATGGGGAAAGAGAGCCCAATCTTCTTCAGTGGCTCCTCCAGAAAGAGCTGCACCTAGAGAAGTTACTTCAGGGACAGGTGGAGGAGCAAACTGTCTATATGCTATCACCAGTCACCAAGAGCAAGAAAATTCAGCTTATGTCCTCACTAGTACGATCAAAGTCTTTACTTTTGATGTATATGCATAACTTGATCCAGATGCGAGTCTATATTTTATGACTCCTTATGTTTCTATGAGGTTCGATATTATTCCCAAACAACTTATTGTACCCTTTAATATTTCCACACCTGTCGGTGAGTCTATTCTAACTGAGAGAGTTTATCATTATTGTACCATTTCTGTCAATCAAAAGGACACCATGGATAACTTAGTTGAGCTAGATATGGTGGACTTTGATGTTATTCTAGGTATGGATTGGCTTCATGCCTGTTATGCCTCAGTTGATTGTAGAACTCGAGTTGTAAAGTTTTAGTTTTCTGATGAACCTGTGAAAGAGTGGAGGAGTAGTTCAGCAGTGCCTAAGGATTGTTTTATTTCATACCTTAAGGTGAGAAAGTTAGTTTCCAAGGGGTGCATCTATCTATTAGTCTGAGTTAATGACTCTAGTGTTGAGACACCACTTATTGAGTCAATTCTAGTTGTGAGTGGGTTTCCAGAGGTCTTTCCAGATGATCTTTCAAGAGTCCCTCTTGAGAGAGAAATAGACTTCGGTATAGATATTCTTCCTATCTCAATTCCTCCATATAGAATGGCTCCAGCTGAGTTGAAAGAGTTAAAAGAGCAGTTGAGAGATCTACTTGAAAAGGGCTTTCTTCGACCTAGTGTCTCACTTTGGGGCACTCCGATCTTACTTGTCAGCAACAAAGATAGTTCACTTAGGATGTGTATTTATTACCGCCAATTGAACAAGGTTACCATCAAGAATAAGTATCCACTTTCGAGAATTGATGATCTATTCGATCAACTTCAAGGTGCCACTTGTTTTTATAAGATAGACCTCAAATTAGGCTATCACCATTTGAGAGTAAGAGAAAGTGATATCCCTTAGACAACATTCAAGACCCGTTATGGTCATTACGAGTTTCTTGTCATGTCCTTTGATTTGACCAATGCTTCTGCAATGTTTATGTACCTTATGAACAAAGTGCTTAAGCCCTTTCTTGATGTGTTTGTTATCGTATTCATTGATGACATTTTAATTTATTCAAGGAATGAGAAAGATCATATTGGTCATCTTAGAGTGGTTCTCGAAACCCTCAAGGATAGAGAGTTGTATGATAAATTATCTAAGTGTGAGTTTTGACTTCAGTTTGTGGTATTCTTAGGCCACATTGTTTCTGGTGATGGGATCCGAGTTGACACTCAAAATATTAAAACAGTGCAGAATTGGCCTAGACCCACATCTCCAACTGATAGAAGGAGTTTTTTGGGATTGGATGGTTACTATAGAAGGTTCGTAGAGGGGTTTCCATCTATTTCTTCCCCGTTGACTCAGAAGAAAGCAAAGTTTCAATAGTCTGAAGCTTGTGAGAAGAGCTTTCCAAAATTAAAAACTAGGTTGACTACTACCCTAGTGTTGACCTTACCAGAAGGTACAGAAGGTTTTGTTATGTATTGTGATGCATCTAGAGTTGGACTGGGTTGTGTGTTGATGCAAAATGGCAAGGTTATAGCCTATGCCTCCAGATGACTTAAGATTCATGAGAAGAATTACCCGACCCATGATTTAGAGTTAGTTGTTGTAGTATTTGCCTTAAAATATGGCGTCACTATCTCTATGGTGTGCATGTGGATGTGTTCACCGATCACAAGAGTCTTCAATATGTATTCAATCAGAAAGAGCTTAATCTCATACAGAGGAGGTGGTTGGAATGACTCAAGGATTATGACATGAGTATTCTATATCACCCAGGTAAGGCTAATGTAGTTGTTGATGCTTTGAGCAGGTTATAAATGGGTAGTATTGCCCATGTTAAGGAAGGCAAGAAAGAGTTAGCCAAAGATGTGCACAGACTTGCTCGATTGGGAGTCCGTTTGTTGGATTCCAATTAAGGCGGAGTGGTGGTGATGAATGGGGCTGAATCATCACTAGTGTTTGAGTAAAAGAGAAACAAGACCAAGACCCTATTTTGCTTGAATTGAAGGCAAATGTTCATAAGCAGAAAATGATGGCTTTTGAACAAGGGGGAGATGGTGTGTTGAGGGATCAAGGTAGATTGTGTGTACCTAGGGTGGATGCACTCCAAGAGAGGATCATGTAGGAAGCTCATAGCTCCAGATACTCTATCCATCTTGGTTCCACAAAGATCTACCATGACTTAGGGGAAGTTTATTGGTGGAATAGTATGAAGATGTGTATTGTAGAGTTCGTTGCTAAGTGCCCAAATTGCCAACAAGTCAAGGTAGAGCACCAAAGGCCCAGTGGTATGGCTCAGAATATAGAAAATCCGGAATAAAAGTGGGAGATGATCAATATAGACTTTAGCACTGGTTTTTTGCGGTCTCGTGGGCAAAATGATTCTATTTGGGTAATTGTAGATCAGATAACTAAATCAACCAATTTCTTACTGGTAAAGACTACCTATGCAGCAGAGGATTATGTCAGATTATATATTTAAGAGATAGTCAGACTTCATGGAGTTCTGGTGTCTATCATTTCAAGTAGAGATGCACAATTCACCGCCCAATTTTGGAAATCTTTCCAGAAAGGTTTGGATTCGAAGGTAAATTTGAGTGCTACTTTCCATCCTCAAACTGATGGTCAAGCAGAGCATACGATTCAGACTTTAGAGGATATTTTGAGGGCTTGTGTGATCGATTTCAAGGGTAATTGGGATGATCACTTACCTCTCATAGAGTTTACTTACAATAATAGATATCACTCTAGTATCCAGATGGCTACTTATGAGGCTTTTTATGAGAGAAAATACAGAGCTCCTATTGGATGGTTTAATGTTGGTGAAACTGGGTTGATAAGACCAGACTGGATTCATCAAGCTATGGAGAAAGTGAAGATCATTCAAGAGAGGTTGAAAATAGCGCAGAGCCGTCAGAAATCCTATACTGATGTTAGGAGAAGAGACTTAGAGTTTGTGGTAGATGATTGGATTTACTTGAAGGTGTCACCCATGAAAAGTGCTATGAGATTTGGTAAAAAGGGAAAACTCAGTCCTCGGTATACTGGTCCTTACAGGATATCCAAGAGAATCGGTAATATAATATTTTGGAAAGTTGTACACTAAACTAGTGGCTAACCTAAAACGAGTAGGCTAAGTTAGAGCTTGACGTTAGATTAGAGCCTTAAAGATACTTTAAAATTCTTGGTTTAGTGTTAAGAGGTCAAGGCCTAAACCCCAAGGACTAACCTTGAGTCCTTGGGGAAAAGACCCTTAGGGTTGCTAGAAAGTGACCCATAAAAGGGATTCCACGCCACGTGGATCAACCCATGCCCCGTAGAGGGGCAACATGGGTGAAGCCCTTTTGGAATATGCCTAACGCAATTGCCACGGGCAGGACCCACGCCTCGTTGATGGGTCCACGCCACGTGGCCTCTCCCAGTAGGTCAAGACCCCAAAAATCTAGTCCTAGAAAGGAACCACGGATGACCAGCATAGGTCGTGGTCCCACCCACAGTTCGTGGGTCCCAGTCGTGGATCACCCTTGAAACTGCCTTTTGGTAGTTGAATCTAGGGGTTCCTTGGTAATTTCCTTATTAATTAATGGTTATGTGGCGTCAATTTAAACTTATTTTAAAGGGCTATATAAGTATTATTCCCACTTAAAATAACCCATCTAAAGTCATATTCATAAATCCCCAAAACCAAATCAAAACCTCTCCAATATTTCTCTCTCTAAAACCTCCATGAACAAAAAGGATACGTCAAGGTCTAGGGCTCAAGAACTCATCTTTTCTACCCAAATTCGTGAGGAATCTTCAATTAAAGTATGGTAGTTTAGATTCATGGTTAACTTTTCATTCATGAAGCCATTAAATTCTCAATTTCAAAGTAGATGAAATCTCCAAAACTTGGGGTTTCTATTCCAAGCCATGGATTCTTTCTCAAAACGTTTTCATTGATTTAGTTAGTATATATTATGAATTAATTGTTGATTATATTTTTATGACAAAATCCACCATGAATCCATGTATTCCCCTTAACCCTAGTTTGTGACTTGTGAATTGGGTGAATTGTAGTAATCATGAAGTTGTGCTTATAGTAGTTTAGTTCATTTAATCATGTTACCATCTATGTCTAATGTAGTAATACTAGAGTGATTGGTTGAATGTGATTTATAGCCTTCAAGGGCAAAACATAAGAATTGACTACATGTATGAGACTTGTGTGTATACAATTGGATTACTTTGAGAGTAAAGTAACTACATTATAATCTAATTATTATGTTGATTGGATGATTATCCTCATGTACACACTTAGGTATGAATAGAGTACAATGTGAAAGGTTTTTCACATGCAATGATTCTTAGGTTTGAAAACTAGTCTCACTTATTGAATCTAGGAGCTTTAGAATGAGTTTGTTGGATTGAGTGTCAAGACATTCTTCCTTAATTAACAATATAAGTCAAGAATTAATATAAACTCAATGGGAATGAATTCTTAGCACCAAGAGGATATGATTATGAGATGGAAGCTTCTACACTAGTTGATTCTGGCTTCCCAAATGGGTTCCTTTTACACTAGTTGAGTCCGAGTTCCCAAGTAGTTGTCTCATGAGATGGAAAGCTTCTACCTTTTGAGTCCGGGTTTCTAAAAGCAATCTCCTTATCTCATAAACTATGTGCCCACATAGGTCTTTAGCTAGTGGATCCACGTAAGCTAAGAGTTTTAGTTCTACCTTA